ATACATATATATATACAAGACTGCAGTGGCGCTTCGCGCCATGCACCTTGGTCCTTGAAGTTTGGTGTGCAGGCGGACTAGCGGGACGGTCAAGCCGACACTTTAGCGATAGCTCCTTTTCCGGCATCGCCGCTATAATAATGTTATTCGTTATCTTTCCTCCATGCTTCTTATTCCTAATTTTCGCCATGCCCTGCGCATTCTCCCCATCCTCCTCAGCTCTGTTTGCGGAGGCTCCTCCTTGGAGAGCCTCCAGGGGCTTCATGGGCGTGCTCTAGAGGCTTTCTTAAGGCCTTCTGGAGGCCTCCTGGGCGTTTTCTGGGGTTTCTGGGGGTTTGTCGGGCCACCCTGCCTCCAACCGCGGTCTCCCTGAACGACCGGGTCACGATTTGGAATGCTTCGGAGGGTGTCTTAGGGCCATCTTGGGCTGCCATGGGGCTCCCTGAGAGCCATCTTGGACCCCTGTTGTGCCGTTTTGGGGCTCTCTTGGATTGCCTGTAAGCCCAGAAGACCGCCGTCTTGGAGCGTCGGAAAGCCGAAAAGAGGAGAACCCCAAAATAAGCCATAAACCAACAAAATCAATGATTTCCGCCTCTTGGGGCCTTCTTGGGAGTGCTCTGGGAGGCCTCTTGGGACGTTTCGGGACGATCTTTGGGGGTATGAAGCTTCTTGGGGGTTGTCGTCGACCGTATTGGGGCTCTCTGGGGTCGTTTCGTGAGCGCGCCACGTCCTGCGAGGCCCTAGGGTCCGCTTCGAGGCCCGTCCGGAGGGTCCCTGAGCCCCAGATCCCGGGAGTCCTGTTGGGGGGGGGGATGGGTTTCCCCCCCCTGGGCTTGTAAAAATATAGACAGAGGAATATATATATATATTATATACATATATATATATATATTATATAATATATATATATATATATATGTGTGTGTGTGTGTGTGTGTGTTTGCCGACTCCGCGGCGAATTGGGCAGCTTGGGTGATATTCGCCAATTCCACCTACTCAGTCTGACTATGACTTGCCAAGACTGCGCGGCGCCTGCTGAACTGGGATATTGCATCGTCCGTGGAATTCTGGTAGAGCTCCTGCTCGAGCAATTCTTACTGAACACGGCGACCTTGACGATGCGAAGAGTGCGATGGGCTTGCTGGGCATGGCCCTGTCCACCAGCCACTCTCCCCTACCCACCCACCTTTGCTCCTCCTCCCCTTCCTCCTCTTCCTCCTCCTCTTCCTCCTCCTCCTCATCATCATCTCCCCTCTCTTCCTCTTTGGATGCCCTCACCTGGGGTCATCGTTTGAAGTTGCGGTCTCGGTGATTGGATGGCCCCGCTGAGGGTCATCGCCTGAAACTGTGGCTGCCCTCGCCGAGGGCCGAAGCGGTCAACGCGCTCGCAACGGTGGACGCGCACGGTGTATGAGCGTTCACGATCCATCCATCCTCCTCCTCCTCTATCCTCCTCCTTCTTCTCCTCCTTTACTATGTATCCTCCTCCTGCTCCTCCTCCGTCCTCATTCTCCTCTCACCACCACCACCGCCGCCGCCTCTCCCTCCGCGAGTCCGAGCCAACGGTGAGCCATGCCATCGGCCCGCACGCTTCCTAAGCCATTCCGTTAGGTTGTCTTTCGCTGGGGCCGCAACCACGACCAAAGAGATCGTTTGAGACATCTGTCGCCGATAGGTTGTCCTCACCGAGGGTTAAAGTAGCCTCGACACGTTGTCGCATTCCCAGTGCGATGCCGAAACACATAAAGCGATGCGCAAACTGCCGACCTGTCCTCAGGGTCCACCTCCTTCATCCTAGCACCGCTCCTCCCCTGCCGCTCGGCCTCGCTGACATCCAGCCGGGCCGCTGCATTTCGACAGCGCCTGCCTCGCCATAGCCCTCGCCATGCCCACGCATCACGCACGCACACACGCACACAGCGAACACACACACAAGCACACACAAAGACACACACGCACACCACACACACACACACGCACACACGCACGCACGCACGCACGCACATACACACATACACACATACACACATACACACATACACACACAGACACACACACACACACACACACACACACACACACGCACACACACGCACACACGCACACACGCGCACACGCGCACACGCGCACACGCGCACACGCGCACACGCGCACACGCGCACACGCGCACACGCGCACACGCGCACACGCGCACACGCACACGCGCACACGCGCACACGCGCACACGCGCACACGCGCACACGCGCACGCGCACACGCGCACACGCGCACACGCGCACACGCGCACACGCGCACACGCGCACACGCGCACACGCGCACACGCGCACACGCGCACACGCGCACACGCGCACGCGCACACGCGCACGCGCACACGCGCACACGCGCACACGCGCACACGCGCACACGCGCACACGCGCACACGCGCACACGCGCACACGCGCACACGCGCACACGCGCACACGCGCACACGCGCACACGCGCACACGCGCACACGCGCACACGCGCACACGCGCACACGCGCACACGCGCACACGCGCACACGCGCACACGCGCACACGCGCACACGCGCACACGCGCACACGCGCACACGCGCACACGCGCACACGCGCACACGCGCACACGCGCACACGCACAGCACCGCGACGCGCACACGCACACACGCACACACGCACACACACGTACAAGAGGGGGTAGGAGAAGGGAAGTGACGGGTGGATGAATGGTGGACGAAGGAAGTAGATACAGGAGTGGGCGGACCGGGAGGGAGGGGGCGGCTGGTGAGGTCGCTCACATTGCTTTAGTGAAAATGGTTCTGCGCTAAACGCTTGATGTGCAAGTGTCCGACCTGTGTACTAACTGCAATCAACGTTGAACGGAGGCCTTATTTGCAACGCTGATGTGCTGAGCAGAGTTGCGTATGGTGGCGCGACAAGAATCAACTTACGACTGATGGCATGTCGCGCTTTCTTCTGAACAGCGAGGGTTTTGAGAGCTGTGTGCAGCACGTCCCGGTCATAGCCAACACCTTTAATGGACAATGTTTTTCCCTATACCAGATTGTTTCGAAGATTTTGCTTGGTGGCGTGCCAGGCTTGCCTGTGATGCCTGCCAGAAACTCGCCCTCCTCTCCCGTAGAAGACGACGATGAAAAATGATGCTGGGGGCCTGGTTCGTTATGACGTCCTTCTTTTGGACTACCAGCTGATGATGCCTGTCCGTCCTGACCACCAATCGAAACTTGCGCCCATTGGTCAGCAACCGTTGGGGTCAAACAGGTCTTGCTGCCCATTGCCAGAACTTCCTTGCTTTTGTCCGCTTGATGTAATTACAGACACACGTCTGCGTCCCAATTGTTTTTGCATGTCCAATGTTTGACGCTAGCTCCCCTTGTCCGAGAACTGATACGAGCACGGGCAAGCCCAGACTTGTTTCACATGTGTACTTCTCGGCTGGATGTGATGGAGGAGACGGCACGACAGGAAATGGCTAGCACGGCGGGATCCAATTTGGCGGCGGCGGCACTACACTTCTGGGTGGCCGGCTGGGTGCGTAATAGGGTAACTGTAAGTGTTTGGGCGTATTCGGGAATCTTTGCCGCGAGAACTTTGGGGCATCGAAGTAATGTATCATCCGGTAGCTCTTATTTGAAATGCCATGTGATTATGGGGGGTGAAGACCCGCTTTCCCTTGTTTCACTGGACTGACATGCTGACCTAGAGCGCCGGCGTTTGAGCCCAAGCAAAATCAACGCCTACCCCCCAGAGCAGTAACAGCGGGAGATTGGCCGCGATAGCAGGGTATCGGTCTTTTCGGTCGAGTTTTCCGAGCTGTACCCACCCCGACACGCCGAGGGTGATCAAGGAAGGGAGCACGAGCGAGAACGGGGTTGGTAGCGGAGCTCCGTGGTTGGCCCCACGGACTCCAGGAGAGTAGCAGACGGACTAGCCACTCCAACGAGCCATGGCGGGGGGAGACACCTACAGCAGCGCGGTGGATCCTAAGATACCGGCGCTGAAGGGTGAGACTCTGAAGGGTTCAAGAGGGCGGTGCAGGCGGCCGAGCTGGGGTGCAAGTCCGAGGAGCTGAAGATCGCGCTCGGGCTCACGCTGTGCCGCAACCTCCTTGGCGCGGACAACTCGATCAGTGTCCTGATCGAGAAAACGGACCCGAAGAATGACGCCGTCGAGAAGGGCGCCGAGGTGTTGCTCAAGTTCCTTGAGGCCGAGCACTTCGCCAAGAGCAGTTTCCGTGAGCTGCCGAAGGCCTTCGACGCGTTCTTCGACCTGGCGCGCTTCGAGCGCGCGGGCGAAGAATCGACGGCGGCATTCTGCGCGGCCACGGAGGTGGCGAAGCGGAACCTGGAGGAGGTGGACCCGGACACGAAGATACTAGAGTACCACACTCTGAAGCGAGGTGTGGACTCGACTTGGACGAGCGGAAGCTGGTGATAGCGAGGGCAGAGGAGACTTTCGATGTCACGAAGATCTCGGCGACGCTCAAGAATATCTTCCCTCACGGTTGTAACGAGCACCGAGGACAGAATGCGAGGGCTGGCTGGCGCTGGACGACGAACGTGCACGACGGCGAGCCTGGACATCCTGACGAAGAAGACGCGCGCTGTGGTGAGTTCTGGGTAGAGGACGACGACGGGCACTGGTGCGAGTGGGGCGGCGAGTGCGGCGTCTACGCGTGCGCTGACGATGAGGGCGAAGACGAGGACTGGGACAGTAGTCGCCTGTCCTATATCGAGGATTTCGCCGACGCTACCTGGCAGGAGAAGATGCCGAATGCCACCAGACCCTGGCCACAGTGCGCGAAAGCCGACTGAAGATGAACAAGATGCGGGCTGCAAGGGGATTTTTCATTGGAAGGATCGACGGCGTCGTGGGCGAGAGCGTAGCAGCCGGGGGCAAGGCGGCCCGGAAGAGCTCCGGGAAGGGCAAAGGCAAGGGCAAGGACGGTGGCAAGTAAACGGACAGACGACGCGGCAAGTGCGGCAGGATGGACCGCGCCACGTCCGAGCGCCCGACCAGCAGCTCCCCCGGGATGCTCTCCAGGGGCAAGAGCCGCGGCGAAGGATCGAAGCCAGCCAATCGTCAACGACGGCTCGTGTTCTGGGCGATGAGCGCCCCGGTCTGCGCGGTGCCGACACGCGTGGGCGTCAGACGCCCGAGGCGCGGCCAGGGCGTCGCCTGCGTGAGCGGACAGCCCGAGAAGGATTACGACATCCTGATGGTGAATATGGACAGCGACCCGATCGTGCCGGACTGACCCGAGCTCGAGGTGATGATTTCGAGCGACGTCGCGCCGGCTTCCTTGATGGATAGCGGGGCCTCGATTGCAGTGGCAGGACGCCGGCGGCTTGACCGCGTCGAGGCGGAGCTCGCGATGCATGGCCTCAAGCCAATCAAGATGGAGGGTCGATCAGCTCGCCAGAAGTTCAAGGGGCTCGGCGGATCACGACCTGAATCAAGGCAGAAGTGGATCATCCCGGCCGGCATTCGGAAGAAGCATGCGCTGCAGAAGTACTACGAGATCCCCGGCGACACGGTCGGCCTGACGAGCAGGAAGGACCTCGCCGAGTGGAAGGCGAGCCTCTACATGCGCGAGGGCGGCCACTGGGCGGACTTCCAGGAGCTCGCGGTGCATGGCAAGGAGCTTGTGAAGCTACCTGGCGGGCATGCAGGCCTCGACCTCTTCGACTGCGACCTCGAGTCGCACGAGTCGGAGCCCCTCTTCGAGAGGTTCCGCGTGGGCGAGGCGCAGCTCGAGCCGGAGGCATTCCTGGTCGCGGGCGCGTTGCAGGTGTTCGTGCCGGGGTTCCAGGCGAAGGATCGCGCCGACTCGCGGGTCGCAGAGGCCCTGAAGAACGGCGGCAAGGGCATCTTCAGGAAGGGAACGCTCAAGCGGATCGATAAACTGATGAAGGAGTTTGGGTCATTTCCGACGTGCTGCGCGACGACCAGGAGACCTTATTGCGGGGGTCGTTTGCGAAGGAGGCTCGCTTTACTCGTATAGTTCGAAGGGGTGGTCATGCGAACGCGGCCCCCTCAGATTTGTCGGTCGGGGTTAATTTCGACGACCCCCAGACCCAGTCGGATTTCCTGTCCCTGATGAAGACCTTCGAACCCTCGATGGTTTCGGTCGCCTTCCCATGCGCACCTTCCTCGAACGTGCGAGAGTTTCAGCGCGCTCAGGGCATGGGCGACCGGGTGGGCGATCTGATCGAGGAGTTCAGGCCGCTGGTCGATTTTTCGGCCGAGGTGCCTCGGGCTCAGGCCGAAGGCGGACGTATCAGCGTCGGCGAGAACCTTCTTACGAGCCGCGCATGGAACGAGGGGCCGATCATGGATTTGTTGCGCTGGCACGGCGATCGACCTCCACTGCACGCAATAGTCACGCTGCACGCGTGCATGTTCGGATTGACGGACGACTGCGGGACGCCGATTCGGAAGGCCACGCGCATGTCGCGGTGGCTCGCGCCTCTCGTGGTGGCTCGACCGCGCGTGCGACGAGAGCAACGAGCGCGCCGACGCGGTCGGACGAGGCGCGCTGCTCTCGCGGGCTAGTGCCTGGCGGGGCGACCTGGGCAGGACCCTGGCGAGTGCTGGCACGCGTGAGCTAGCGCGGCGCACCGACCTGAAGAAACTGGGCATTGGAGACGACGTGGCGAAGGTCCCGGACCAGCAGACCATGCGCACGGTGGTCAAGGAGTTCAAGCTGAGGCAGGACTTGATTGACGTACGCGTGCTGAGCCAGAACGAGGCTGTTCCCCAACCCCGCGGAGCTGTGCGGCGCATATACGCCACGTGCACTGACCAGGGCGTGCTGGCCGACTTCTCCGACGCCTACGCGGACGACCCGAGCTTCGCGACGGTCGAGCTGGCCACGAGGCGCCCAACGGGCACGGTGGTCGCCGTCTACGCGAAGGAGCCGAAGGTGCAGACATCCTTCCCCCTGCGACGGTACCCCTACTCGGTAGCCGACCAGAAGCATTCAAGCACCACGACCGCGAAGCTGGCGCAGCACATCGAGATCTACATCGCGACGGTGAAGGCTTCGGCGACAAGCCTTCGGACATCGCCACGGCTCAGTGGGACGCTCTGAGGAAGCTCCACCTGGACCAGAATGACCCAGTGGCTCACGCTTTGAAGCGACGCCTGAAGTCCTACGGGGTGTCGCAGAAGGCGCCCGACGCGGTGGATGAGCTTGACTGCGTCGTGTGCAAGGAGCTCGGCAGGCCCAACGCTACGAGGTCAGCCAACCTGAAGCTCTCGACGGAGTTCAGCGCGAACGCGTTTCTTGACGCAGCCGAGGTGACTCTCTCAGATAAGACACGGTTGATGGTTATGGTGATCCTGGACGACGCGTCGAGTTTCAGGGTCATCATCCCTATTGCGGCAGTGCGGTCCATCACGGGCGAGGAGAGCCTTCGCTGTGGATCGCAAAGAAGGCAAGAAGGCTCTCGTGGGCTGGCCCTCCGAAGGCGCTCTACTCCGACGCAGCGAAGGGCCGCGTCACGCAGCGGTTCGCGGAGATCTGCGAGAAGTACAACATCCTGATGAGGCCGGTCCCGGCACAGGCGCCGTGGCTCAAACGAGCCATCGATTCCTTCAAGGACCATTTCCAGCGCCTGAACCGCGATGTGCAGCTCACCAAGAGCGACGACCCATCCGTTTGGACTTCGGCGAGAGCGAGCACGCGCAACAACCGCATCCGGCGGAGCGGTTTCACGCCCTACCAGGATGTATTGGGCCGATCGCCCAACGTCCAGGCTTTGCTGATTGAGGCGATGGAGGGCGACCAGAGGCAGCCGGCAGCACAGAGCGTTGCTCTCTTCGACGATGGCCCCGGGAGGGCCGAGCAGATTCGCGCCGGCCGCGGCGCGCCGGGCGTTCTTCGAGCTGGACAGCGACGACGCCGTGAGAAGGGCCACGGCTGGTCGAGTTCGCCCGCCGCGCGGGCCGTTCGTGCCGGGCCAGCTGGTGTTCTACTGGCGCGAGGTGAAGCACGCCAAGTCGAAGCGGCTCCATGGCGAGCACGGGCGGCGCGGCCTGGCCGTTGTGCTGGCAGCTGAGGGCCGCGCCGGGCTGCGCCTGAGCTACCGTGGGGTGCCGGTGCTCGCGTCGCCCGAGCAGGTGCGGCATGCCTCTCGCGGTGAGGCTGGGGCGGTGAAGAACGAGGACCTCGTCAGGCAGCTGTCGCAGTGACGTGGGGGGCCTGCCCTCCAGATGGACTTCGTGGACGAGCGCGGGCCTGGGCCTGACTGGAGCGGCGGCCAACGCGCCTGGCGTCGACGACGGCGGCTCAGACAACGAGGACGCCGCAGGCGACGCGCCGGCGGCCAAGACGCCGCGGGCCGAGGAAGCTCCACCGCCTCCCCCGAGGAGGTCCGAGGCTACCCCCAAGCGGAAGAAGCAGACTAAGGTGGGGGACGCATCTGAACCTGGAGCGTTACCCGAAGTACCACCACTACCTGGAGATGGACACGACATGCAGGACGTCAAAGCTGAACCGCTACGTGGAGATGGACATGACATGCAAGACGTGAAAGCTGAAGATTCTCGCGGAGATGGACATGATATGCAATATGTTACGGCTAACGACCCACCTGTGTTTGCAGCTTGGCCCGGGCGCGCCACGGACCTGGACGCGGCTGCTGTGCCAAGTGCTTCGCAGCAACAACCTGGGCAAGAGGGGCAGCGATAATCTGCGCCACAACCTGGCCTCTCTGCGAGCGATCACTACCTGGCGACTTCGAAGCAGATCGCGAACGACTTCGCGCGCGTCGTGAAGCTCTCGAGCAGAGTTGTCTCCCGAGGATCGAGGGCGACAGACTGGACGACGAAGTTCTATCCCTCAAGGTGAAGAACCGTGCGAGGGGCGAATTTGTAGCAAGGAGGACTGAGACCACGAAGAAGCAGGTCGCCCCAAAGACAGGTCGGGAGCTTCGCAGCATCCCGCCAGAAAAGGGAGACGGCGTTCGAGGCGAGCGACCTGGAGGAATGGCGTAAATGGATTCAGTATGACGCTGTGGAGTGGCCGAGTGAAGAGGAGCTTGCGGGGGTCGAGAAGGCGGACATCCTGCCCATGAGGTGCGTCCGCACTGACAAGAATGAGCCGACGAGGGGCAGTCTCTCGTGCGAGCAACACCCGCTGAAGGCGAAATCGCGTAACATCGTCCTGGGCTACAAGGACAAGCATCTTCTCGCGGGCGATTTGCAAACGAACGCGCCGACGCTCGCGGACACGGCCGCGGCGGTGATCATCCAGGAAGCTGCCAGCCAGCCAGGCGGGGGCTTCGAGCTGGGCGTCGTAGATTCAGCATTTCTGAATGGGAGATATCTCGACAGCTCCAGGCGCGTATACTTCTGAGGAAGGTGCACTGCTGCGGCAAGTGACAGACGGCGAAGGGGGGCTGCCACAACTGCGGGCGCTTCCTTAAGCAGAACGACAACGGCGCGATTTCATGCAGCCAGAAGGAGTACACGGAGAGCATCGAGAATATTCCGATCTCGGCCGAACGTCGGAAGACAAAGGGGGCGAAGGCCACGGCGGAGGAAAGGGCGATGCTCCACAGCGGCATCGGACAGATCCATTGGCTGGTCCGTTCTACGCGGATGGACTTGGCGTTCCGACTGGTGGAAAGCCAGGCTAGGGTTCGCGACAGCGACGAAGGTGCAAGATCTGCTGGACTACAACAAGCTCGTGAGCGATGCCAAGCTCGACCACCTGGACATCACCTTCCAGAAGTTAGACATGGACAACGCAATTGTGGTGGCAGTGGGGGACTCGTGCCACGGCAACGTGGGCAAGACGAAGACCGCTAGCAAGGCGGGCCTGGTCATCTTGCTCGCGGACAACACCGACGAACAGTTCCTGCGCGGGAGGCCGGCCAAGTCACCTCAATGCTCTTGCGATCACATCGCATCAAGCGGGTGGCACGGAGTACGCTGGCAGCCGAGGCGATGGCAGCTTTTGAGAGGCGGTCGAGAGTGGCGACATGCTGCAGCACCTGGTAGAGTTGCACTACAGGCTGGGCCGGGCCCACATGGACGACGGAAAGGCGATCGAGGTGGTGGAGGTCACTGACTGCAAGTCGCTTTATGACCTGCATCAGAAGCGAGGGGTGGTTCCGTCCGAGAAGCGGCTGCTCATCGACATCGAGTCGTTCAGGAACGACAGTGAGTTCAACAACGTGGTGAGCAATTGGGTGAACGCTAAGCAGATGCTCGCCGACTGTCTGACCAAGCAGGACATCCGCGCGGGCGACCACATGAGGCATGTGCCCCAGACGGGCGAGAGCCGTTTGACGGAGGGCCCCATTTAAGATCATGCCATCTCTGAGTAACGGACGGAGCTGCAGGGTCGTCGGGGCGAGTATTGCCGCTCGAAGTATCTTCGTCGGCGCCGACCTGCTGACCAGCCTGGTGTACGAGAAGGCTACGCGTTCTTTGAAGACTGCTTTGCGGACCTGAGGAGCCATGCGCATGCGGCTCGACCTGCTCCCAGGCATTATCTCCGTTGGCGGATGATACTGGGCCAGCGCGAGGACGACGTCGACTGCGAGAAGCTCGAGGATATGATCGACTGGTCAGGGCTGGTCCAGGTGGCGAAGCGTCGGAGGATTCCGACCCATGTGCGTAAGTTGCTGACGATCTACGCGCCGACCCAGGAGGCTCCTGAGCGCGACGAGAAGTACTTCGCGGAGAAGCACATCCTGAAGAAGACGGGCATGACCGAGGACATCGAGCACCACGAGGACACGAATGACATGTCGGACGCAGGTCTACTTGTGGAGTCGGACGAGAATCAGAATACAGATGGTACTTCGGACCTGGACGACGCGAGGGAGATCTACGCGATGGATGCTGCGGGTGCTGAGGCCGAGGAGATCGGAGGAGGCGCCGCTGGAGCTGGCGCAACGCTGGTGGCGCTTGCGGTGCGCCGGGCGGTGGTAGACCGGTGCGAGCGTCAGCCGAGGACTCATAAGAAGGCCAATCACAACGTCCCCGTCCCCAATGACGGTCATGATTGGGCCGAGGTGCCCGGCGAGACTGAGCAGCCTGGAGGATCGACACCCAGGAATAAAACGACGGAGTTACCAATGGATGAGGCTCGCAAACTACATGAGCGCTTGAAGCATGTATCCTACAAACAGATGGGGCATGACGTGCTGGGGGGCGATATCTTAGAGGCGTACCAGCTGGTGGTCGCAGGATGCAGCAAGTGCCGTCGAGCTAGTTGCGACACGGAGGAGATCCCAAAGGGCAAGGGCAGCGAGAAAGGAACATGCAAGTCACGGGGCGCATGCAGAATCGACCCAGACGAATGCATACATCCAGCGGGTCAGCTCACGACTGTTGGCACCAACCAGCATCAGGAGAAGGTGCACCGCCGCCTTTGTGACGCACTGCTCGTGGATCGAGACGCGAAGTGGTGGTCTGAGGAGCAGGAGCTTCGCGCAGAGGTCCAGGCGATCCGCCCGGAGAAGCAGAAGCGAGAGCTCTTGAGTCGGTCGAGAGCACCGACAGCCGGACGATCCACGACGGGATAAGCTACTACATGACACAGTCGCTCAAGGTACCGTGAGTGCATGGCACCTCCATATTTACAGCTGTCCCGTTTGTTGTTCAACTGAGCCAGCGTCGGCTCGTAGGCACGCTTAGTCGGAGGAAAGAGTCTGAGTGTGATTTGTGCGGGGTGAAGACCCGCCTGCCCCTGTTTCGCTGGACGGACATGCTGACCTACAGCGCCGGCGTTTGGGCTCAAGCAAAATTAGCGCCTATCCCCCAGAGCAGTAGCAGCGGGAGATTGGCCGCGATAGCAGGGTACCGGTCTTTTCGATCGAGTGCTCCAGGCTGTACCCACCCCGACACGCCGAAGGTGATCGAGGGAGGGAGCACGAGCGAGAACGAGTTGCCACGAGATGTCCGCAACGCCTTGCTGAGAGTACTGACATCAGAAGCTGATTTATGGATGCGCCAAAGTCTGGTCACATGTCCAAGGCGATGCATTGTTTTAAAGACGCTCTTGCTTACATTGGGTGAATATGAGAAGCACACTTGAAGCCATCGCCGGGCCTCGATCGGGCGAGCGATCGGGTCGATCTCGGATCGCGAGCGCCCGCCTGCGGGTGATGTGAGCGCCGCGCTGCAGCCGACCAGAGCTGGATCCTGCTCCATGGCTCGGGCTGGCGGTTCCTCTTGAGCCAAAATTGCTCTGGATGTTTTTCTCCTCCTCCTCCTCCTGCTCCTCCCCCTCCCCCGTCTCCTCGCACTCTTCCTCCACCTTCGCTTCCGCCCCGTTCTCCCAGAGTGCACTTCCGCTACCCCCCAGAGACAAATCAAGGAACAGTTGCGGTTCGGAAAGGGCTCGTGGCATCCCGGGCCCTTCCGTGGTTTTCCATCCAGCGCTCCTCGTGCGCCCAGGCGGCTCTGGGGCCACAGTGACGCTTCGCTTCTGATCCAATGCCCCTTCTGGCAAAACTTGCCTGTGCTGCTTCACCTCCCCGCGGCGATGCTGCTGCTTCTGCTGCCGAAACCCGCTGTCGCCGATGCCCCTCCGCCAGCCACTGCGGCTCAAGCCCTGCAGGCCCGCCACGGGAGCCGCGAAGCCAGCGACTGCCCGCCCCGCCCGCCTCTGGCCGCCACCGGACTTGGCTCAGCCGGGCTGCATGGAGCCGGAGCAGGCGGGCCCGTATATTCGGCCGCGCGCAACAAGAGGCAGGGGCAGAGGGGGGAAGGCTTCTTAGAAGCAACCCTGCTTCTTAGAAGGCGCGGGCCTTCTCTGTAGATGTAAGGCCCGCGCCTTTTAACAGGCAATTTCCTTCTAAGAAGCCTTCCCCCCTCCCCCTACCCCCTTGAGCGCGCCGCCAGTATACGGTCGGGACCTTCTGATTCGCGTGTCGTTCCGCCGGTGTTGGCCCGCCCGCACCTCGGCGCGACACGCTATCCACGCCGCGGCCCCGAGACGTCAAAGTCACGAGCCTCTCCCAGCCTCCCGCCCCGAGGAACGGAGCGACACGCTATCCGCTCGCAGGGCACAGCGTGTCGCCGGGGCCGCCGTGGCGATCTGCTATCCCAATGTTTTCGATCTCGACCGTAATAATCATTATCCTCCGCCCTCCTCCTCCTCCTTCTCCTCCTCCTCCTCCTCGTCCTCGTCCTCCTCCTCCTCGTCCTCGTCCTCCTCCTCCTCCTCCTCCTCCTCTTCCTCCTCCTCCTCCTCCTCCTCCTCCTCCTCCTCCTCCCCCTCCTCTTCCCTCCTTTGCCTTGAGACAAATCTTCCCTGTCGCACCCCGAAGCGTTTCACTTGAGATTTCCTTGTCACTGACGATCTTGAAGCTGAACATGTGCAAGAGTTTAATGATTGGAGGGTGGGCCGTTTTCCAAATAAGGTTCTCGCCTGAGCGCCGCGTACATGCGGTTTAAACATGCCAGCCAGCGATCACCCTAAACAGTGTGTGCTCGAGCAGACGGTGTTGCGCTATCTATGTTGATCACGCTATGTGGTGCAGTCTATGTGGTGCAATCTGTGTGGCACAACCTTTGCTGTGGATTCTACGACGTGCAATCAATGTGGTGCACTCTATGTGGTGCAACCTATGGTGTGCAATATTTGTGGTGCGTGATAGATGGTGCAATGTATGTGGTGCAATATCTGCGGTGCAAATATGCTGTGCAATATTTGTGGTGCAATCAATGTTGTTGTGCAATCGATTTTGGCAATCTATGTGGTGCAACAGGTGCTGTGCAGTAAACGTGGTGCATTCTACAATGCGCAATATCGGTGGTGCAGCCTATGCTGTACAGACTCCGTTTTGCAATCTACGCGGGGCAACACACGTTTTGAAATCTATGTGGTGCAACACAGGTGGTGGAATATATGTTGTGCAATCTGTGTTGTGCAATCTACGATGTGCAATCCACGCTGTGCAATCCATCGTGTGCAACACACGTGGTGCACTATATGTGGTGCGATCTATGTGGCGTAATATCGGTGGTGCAATCTAGGTGGTGCACTAGCTGTGGTGCAATCTATCTGGGGCGCTTCATGCTGTACATTATCGGTGGTGCAATCCACGCGGTGCACTTCACCCTGCCGAATTTGAAGTTGTCAACCCCATTGCCCGCGCAATCGCCCCACCCACCCACCCACCCTCGACCTGGCCTGCAAAACCCATGCGGAGGCGATTGCTATGTGTGCTTGGTGTTGGCTGGTGCATCTCTGTGGCCGCGCTAACCCGCGCATGCTCGCGCGCGCAGCGGCCAGCTAGCTTGGCGCGACCGACGCGAGCGCGGCATCATGGCAACGTCGACAACGGTATGCACGGTGATGACAGCAGCGATGCTGGTAACGATGTTGACAACGGTGACGACACGGCCAATGACGGCGCCAATGCTGATCACGCCGGCGACGATGACGGCGTCCTCGCGTTTGTGGTGAATATGTTGGAAGGAGTTCGACATGCGCGCGCGGCCGACGCGCGATAATGGCCCGCATTGTATTTTTTGAAACGGATCGCGCCCCCCCCCCCAGCACGCGCGCAAAGGCGTTCGAATGATTTCGGCATGCGGCGCGAGAGGCTCGATTGGCAGGACTCCATGAACATGTTGAACAAAAAAACGATGGTTCCCTTCAGAAAGCGCAGAAGCGCGAGCGCATGTATGTTGCTTGAAAGCTGATGTTGAGCAGTCATGTCTTTTATATGGTTTCGGGGCGTTCGGTTTTGAAATCCTTTCGACACCTACGGTTTTCGACAGATTTCGGCATGCGCGAGTGACGAGGTGCGCGTGTGCACTCCGCCCCGCTATTTGCACGGGGTTATTGCGACAGCACGCGCGAGGGCGTTCGAACGATTTCAACGTGCGCGCCCGCGAGCCCGTTCGGACGCTTTCATTGGAAATGATGTAACACCGATTGCTTTCTTAACAATTCGCAAGTGCGCGGGCGCAATTTGTTTTGCTACCCTGAGTGTGACATCATTCTTTTTGTTTTTCTGACACTCGATTTTGAAACTGGCATGCGCGCGCGACGACGGGGGCGTGTGCATTTCGTCATTTGTTTTGGTTTTGGGCAAGGGGCTATTGAACAGCATAGCGTTGTTGGAATAGAAAAACGGGGGGGGGTCGATACCGGATTGGTTCGGGTGGCATGCGTTCATAGAGAGAAGTTTAGGATGGACAATGAGGCAGGATTGTATGTACATTGGAATGCGCAGAAGGGGACGGATAATCTTGAGGGGGAAACAGTTTGATTCCTGTATTACAAGAAGAAAAAATATGTCGGGACGGCGACGGTGGCAGCATAGATGCCAAAGCGACACACAGGCCCAGGTTCAGGCGGGGACGCAGCGGCGACGGGGCGGCGACGGCGTCCACATGGCCGCCAGGCCGACCGCCAGGCCCAGGTTCGGGCGGCGACGGGGCGGCGCCTGCGGCCACATAGCTCGGGGGCGGAAAAGAGGGGGGTGATGACTGGGGGGGGGATATCATGGCGGGGGCCATGATATTTCCCCAGGTTTCATGGCGCGTCTCCTTATTTCATTACGTCCCTGGCCACCCCCCTGGGCCGTGCACATGCCGCCGGTCATGATTTGCACCCCCCCCCTTTTAGACACCCCCCTCTTGGCCGCTCCCGAATAGCCACCATAGCGAAGGAACGGCCCGTACGACGGGCGGCGACGGGGCGGCGACGGGTCGGCGACGGCGGCCACGTAGCCGCCAATCCGAAGACACAGCCCGGTGCCCCAGAACAGAAGGAAGAACTCCTGAGCGCAAGCGCTGTCTGGGGAAGGCGCCAGGGCTTCACGCCCGGAGGGCGGACCGTTTTCAAAATTTGGCCTTCGCCTCAGCGCCGCGTGTCTTGTTTTTTGTTGTTGTTGCGCTTCTTCGTTTTCAACTGAAGAGCGTCACGGATGGAGGGCGGGCCGTTATCAAAGCCCGGCCCTCGCCATAGCTCCGCGCAATGTGTTGTGAAGGTTGCAGAAGGTTTCACGGGTGGGGGGTGGCTCCTTTTCGACTTGCGGTTCTCGCCCTAGTGCCACGCACAGTCGCCTGAAACAGACACAAGAGTCTCACGGATGGAGGCCGGTCCGTCGTTTTTTTTTTAAATGTGGTTCTCGCGTGGGGGAAGTGCACATTCGCTGTAAGGGCTTACAACCTTTTCAAGGGCGCGCATGGTTCACGGACCAGAACTGGCATTTTGGCACGATGTCGGACCGTCAGGGCGCAACAGGTACGGCGATTCGCAGTGTCGAAGTCCCAGGAGTTGAATTCTGGCGCGATTCCAGATCGTCAAAGAGCAACAGTTACGGTGCTTCGCGGCGTTGAAGTCTTAGCAATGGTGCTCTGGCACAGTTCAGGATGTTCAAACGGCTGTCTCCCAACGGGGCACTTCCCTCAGTGAACATGAGGCTTTGTATGGGGCCTGCGAAGAAGGAGCTTGGAGAGAGACTTGATTGCAGATCGTTGATGGGTCCTGGGTTTACACTGGTCGTCTTCTTCTTCCTCCCTCCTCCTCCTCCTCCTTCTCCTCCTCCTCCTCCTCCTCCTCCTGGACTCCTCCTCCTCCTCCTGCACTCCTCCTCCGCCTCCGCTTTCGCTTCGCTTCGCTCGCGGCTCAATGTCCTCGCGGGACGCAGCCGTCCGCGCGGGCGGGCCCGCGCGCGCGCCGAAGGCGCGTTTGGGGGGCCACCCCCCCGACACAGACCCCCGCCAGGATGTCCCAGGGAAAGAAGCCGCCTAGGCTTCGCAAGGGGAGGGGCGGGGGCCGAAAAGGACCGAGAAAAAAGGGCCCAGGAGTTTCGGGCAGGAAGAAGAGGAAGACGCTAAAGAGGAGAAGGGAGAGGCCACATGGGGGTGGCGAAGTGGAGAGAGGGGAGGGGGCTCATTGAAGGCCTTAGGAGGAAGGGAAGCCACCCCCATGACGGCCTGCCCGCGGGTGGTGGCCCAGGTCAAGCCTGGACCGTGTCCTCCCCCCCCTCTCCCTAGAGGGGGCGTCCATGATGTGGTTGGCGGTCTCCGTGAGCGCTACGGCAGTCTTGCCGTGGTGGGCGCTCTTCCCGAACTTCATGGGCCATGTTACGGCCAACTCAGCTCAGCTCGGGCTGCCGATGGATGCGACAAAGTCGTCGATTGGATTGCCGTGCTCCTGGGAGAGGCCATAGTATATTGCATAGGTGCTGCTGGTGACGTCTACCATGGTCGGTCTCCTCGTAGCGAGATTCTCCATTGCGTAGAACATCATCTCAGTACTCCAAATCATCGTCGGACCTGCTGGGGCTGCAGATTGCGCTAGTAGTGCTGGTACTTCGGCGACATGGGCGGCGTGGAAGGTGTGGATGGCGAGGCGGGCATGGTGGTTCGCGATCAGTCGTCGTTCGGCTGCCTCGCCTCCAAGGCTTACTCTGCCCCAGGGGTCCGTGGTTGTTCTTGAAGATGCTGCCTTTCTGTCGTGCTGGTTGCCATCGCCTTGGTCGATCCACGTTCTGGGTGAGAGGTTGATCATCACTCCCGCGAAGTCACCTTGTCGAATGTGCTGGTGGATCGAGTCGAGGGCGTCGTACTGTGATGGGCGGTCGACAGAGTAGATATCATCGAAGGTCAGGATAACTCGTTCCATCACCATTCCCTTGTAGCATAGTCGTTGGTCCGTGATGTCGAGCAAATCGTTCTGGTATCTCTCGGTGTTGGTGAGGTAAAGAAGAGATCTGTTTCTGGTCATTGTACGAGGGTGGTGGGCTGGTGGTGGTGGTGTGAGCTCTGGTACAGTTGGGAAGAATGGCGGTGGTGACGGTGATAGGTCAAGGGATGGTAAGGGAGTGACGTCGGATGCGTGGGCAGGGATATGGTGGTATAGTTCGGGGCGGCCTCTGCGTTTGTTGTTGGCTATGCTGGTCGCGTAGATCGCCTGGTTGGTGGCCACGTCCTCCTCCGTGAGGGCAGGTCCCTGTAAGTACCACATGTGCCATGACCGTCGGCAGCGGGCGACCGTGGTTAGATGCTTCACTAGTTTGGCGAAGGAGTGGAAGTTCTGGCGGCATATTCTGCACGATGTACCCGATGCCCAGTTTCGCGGATGATCAGGTCGTCGGTGTTCACGTCCGATATGTATTGCCATGCCCTGCTTTGTCTTGGTTACTATTCCACACTCGTAGCAGATGAAGTTGCAGGCACCGTTGTCGCGTGATGGCGTAGTGTCCGCACCAATGGGGCCGTCGGGTCTGAACACCTTGGTCAGCTTGTCGGCGTGGGCGTGGTCTTTAGAGGCGCGGATGTAGTTTGTGACGGCCAGGTTGACGGAGTTGGTGAAGTGCTTCGGCGTGGTGCGAGCCCATGCAAAAACATCGGGGTCGAGCTTGCTTGTCGTGGGCCAGCGCTGGTCGTCCAGGTATGTTCGCAGGAAGTCGAAGTCCTGGAAAAGCATGTATGTCCATGAGCCCTTTCTCCGTCGCTGGTTGTCAAGCAGTTGGAGGAGCTGTTGAGGAGCGTGTCGTAGAAGCCGTGGTAAGTATCGCAACCGTCCAGCAGACTGGTGGTGGTCGAAGTCGGGGATGCCAGTGTAAGCTACTACTTCGGTGGCCGTGAAATGATGAATCTGCGAGTTCGTCTTGGGTAATCCGGCTGCAGTGCGATAGGGCTTCGAGTAGGCATTGGAGATGCGCTGGTGGTCAGTCTGGGTCAGTGTTGGCCAGACGTGATGGTTGAAGGTCAATGAGGCGGTCGAGAGGGCGTGCACGTACTTGATCTTCGTTTTGCGGGGTAGGCGTCGACGTCTTAGGATTTGCCTCTCAAGAGCTCGTGCCGAAGCTTCGGTTCGTCGCATGCGATTCTGTACCTCGGGGCCCATGCTGCCGTTGGTTAGGATAGTGCCTAAGAGTCGGTGCTGGTCTGTGATCTGGACCGAGATCGACATGATGCTCAGCTTGATTGACGTAATGTTCTGCTGTGCAAGCCTGCTGCGTGCGACGTTGGAGCCCGTCCCGTTAAAGGAGATGATGACCTTGGTCTTGTCTGGGTGTGGCTTGAGCCCGTAGGTAAGGGCTGTACGGCATAGACGTTCGGCTGAAGTTTTCGTAATGTCAATGATTTCGGAGTGGCTGGTGGTCGAGTTGAAGTCGGTGAGGTCGTCGACGAAAGACATGTTAGTCAGCTTGCCGCCTTGATGAGGGGCCGTAGAGAAGAGCGGGTTGTCGCAGGGGCGGATGTGGTGGCCGCTCTCACCGTCTTCTGCCCCTTCAGCGTCGTCGGCGATGGCCTGAAGCACTAGGGAGAAATGCATGTTGAAAGCCGCGTCAGAGTATGGCACCCCTGGCCTGGTACTGGTGCGAGGGATCACGTATGCGTCTGCGCCCTTGGCGGTCATCCAGTTGGCCGTGTGGTGGTCGGCAACGAGGGCGCAGAGGTGAGAGTCGTCGACGTTGGCGTTGAGATGTGCTGGACATCGAAGCCGTTGTCGTAGGGAGGGGAGGAGGCATATGGGAATCTCGATGTTGTCGATGACGTCTTCGAGCTCGTCCTCCTGGGTCGGCAGCTGGAACATGAACTCCCTTATTACCGAATGAAAGGCTTCTTTCAAGTCCAGGAAGAGGATGCTGCCCGTGCGAGCCTGCGCACGGCAGTCTTCCAAGAAGGTGTAGGCGGTGTGGGTGATGAAGTCAGTCGCCTTGTGAGGGGCGGCGCCGCATTGCGTGTCCATGAGCAGGTCGGGTAATATGTCGCGGAAGAGGCCTCTCAGGAACTTGCTGTTAATCTTGCCAATAGTGTTGTTCAGTAGGATGCCTCTGTAGGCTTTCTGCAGATGAAGCTGTCCTTGTCCTTTGGAGAAATGGGTGGAGAAGCCGCCCTTCGCCGAAATGGGCTCCGTCGTCATCAGCTGCATCTTCATCATGATGGGGTGCAGAAGTCGGGCAATCTGGCGCGGCGCTGCGCGTGCCATGTCGTCGGCGTTCCCGTCGGGCCCGCCGCGTTTGCCCTTCTTGGCGGCTGCCAGGGCGGATGTCAGGTTGTGGATGGTCTGGACGTTGTTGATGTGGGGTATCGGCTTTGTGTGTGCAGTCTTGTTGTTGTAGTACTTGACGACTCCTTCGATGTCGGTGTTGATGCCGTTCTCGATGTTGCCGTAGTATCGAAGGGCGTGCTCCGCAATGGCTTGTGGCGTCGTGAGTGGAGCACCGTCATCGTCTTGGCGTATTTTGGGAGTCGGAGTTCTCTTAGGCGTGCGGCCGCCGTATGTGAGTAAGGCCCTCACGTTTGCCCATTCCTGCCGCGGGGCATTCCCTGCGGCTGCTAATATCATGTTGTCGGAGAAGCGCTCGAGGTGGGCGTCGCGGTCATGGTCGAGGCGGATTCTGAGAACGCGGTCGGTGTCTTGGATAAAGCTCAAGTATGAGTCGAAAAGATTCGTAGTGAATGTGGTCGTGCCATAGGTGCTGTCGTGGTGTGGAGCCGCGGTATGGTCGGGGTCCTTGTGGTTGATGAAGAGGATGGTCTTGATCATCAGCTGAGTGTATCCAGGGATGTCCATGAGGTGGATGACGTCGTCAGGGGACGCTGATGCCGACTGGTTTGCGATGAGGTGCGCGGTGTATCGGATCCGTCTGCGTGACTTCTTGGTGCAAATGCCATTCCTTTTCACGATGCGGATCGTCTTGAGGAGGGTGCGTCGGAATCGAAGAAGAGCGTAGGAGGCCTCGGTAATGTAGGGCTTGCGGGGGGCATGATGCTGCTTCTTGAAGCTGGCGTAGGCTGCGTCCTTTATCTGATCGACGATGCTCTTGGTATGGTCGTTGATGTTGGTCTCCCAGGGAGGGTGTTGGATCTGCTGCAGGCGTCGTTGAAAGTCGTTCTTGGCTGTCTCGGAGCCGAGCTTAGCGATGTCGAGCTTGGGCGTGCCGTGCTGGTAGGCGGTCTCGACGGTGTAGGCGAGGTTAGCCTTGACAGGGAAGTGGTCGTTCTTTTGTGAGTGGTCGTGTTCTGTGTCGATACCGTACATCACGGACGTGTAGGAGATGGAGTCAAAAAGCTCGTGGCCAACCACTATGTAGTCCAGTCTGTGCACGTCCTTGCCTGAGTCCCATGTGTAGTGGTCCTGGCCTCCGCTTTTGAAGGTGTTCGCGGCTATGAGGGAGTTCCCTTGCAGGACCTTGTGGAAGCGTTCGCCGTTGTCGTCCTCCTTTTGCTTGAAGCCTTGATCGCCGATTGCCTGGCTGCATAAGCTGCCCGTTCTAGCGTTGGCGTCGATGAGGAAGATGTTGATATTGTGGTTAGACGTTGCGCATTCGATCATCTCCCAGAAGGTATCCTTCTCGTGTGGCTTAGCTCGTGAATGTGGTGCATGGGCGACGCAGACTGTATGTCGAAATCCTGGGGCTTCGATCCTTACTACGAGATGCCGAGGGCTGTGCTCTATGACGGTGAACTGATCGGGGCGGAAGTAGAGTTCCTTGGCTCCTGCCTTTCCGTACGGCTTGCTGGTGAGTATGTGGAGCTCGCAGCCGAGGTTGTACTGATCGTGGCCCCCTGATATGACGCGGTAGTTGTACGCACTCGTGCTGGTGATGTCGTTGCCGCTGCGAACTCCCCAGGGCGTGCGGGCTTCCTGGATGCCGATCAGGTGGAGGTCCTCCATGTACAGGTTGAGCATTGTCTTTCTGAGCTTGTGTATCTTTTCTTTGCGTCGTCGAGCGCCGTGGCCAGGTTCGCGCCCTGACTGGATGTTGTAGGTGGCGATGTTGACATCTATCTCGGTCGAGGTCTTCGTGGACTTGGTTGGTGTCGAAAGGTGAGCTGTCGTTGCCGTGGTATCGATGCGTTGGGCCTTGAGCATCCCAGGTGAGAAGGATGGGTAAGCGTCCTTGGTGTGGTTGTCGGCGTCAAGTAGGAATTCCCAGCTGCGCTGAGGGGACGCGTTGAGTATGTTAGCCCATTCAGGTTGTGGGTGCGGGTAGTCCTCAATGCGGGCGTAGTTGGCCGCGGCGTCGGCAACTTCGTTCCATGGGTTCATCTCGTGGGCGTGAACGTGACGCAGGTCGACATATTCCTTGACGTGCGAGTACATGATCACCAGTAGCTGCACGAGGTGGGCGTCTCGGTTGGTAAAAGCTTCCATCTTGGCCAATTGGATCGCTCCCAGCGAGTCGGAGTGGACCGATATCCTGTGGTTGATGTCCTCGTGGATGATGTAGGCGAGCGCCCAGATGATCGCTGTGATCTCGCTGGATGTCGAAGTGGTCTCGTTGTCCGTGAGGTTTTGGATCTCCACGAGGGTGGAGTCGCGGTGCTTGCCGACTATTGCGCCTTGAAAGGAGAAACCTTCTTCGTCTTCTCCGACGAGTACTACTGACCATCCGTCTTGACCATGTTGGCGTGGGTGTTTGGAGCCGTCGGTGTATAAGTGCAGGCGAGAATCTCGTAGGAGCTGTCGGTATGGGAATGTTCGCATCATGTAATCTGAAACCTCGTTGTGGCATCTGTCGGTAAATTCGAAGGTAAGCCTGGGAGCCTGAAGTCGTCGAAGGTGCTGGATTAAGGGCTCCTGCTCGTCGAAGTCGATGTGGTAGAGGATATTGTCGGTCTGCTGGTCGCGGGTGTGGACCTCGCGGGAGAAACGAATATGCCGTACTGCCTCGTGGCTCTCCGCATTCGGCAGGTCGGTCTGTCCGTGTGGGATCTGGGTAACTTCAAGGGAGTCAAAAATGGGAGGTTGTGGCCGGCAGGGAGTTGATGTACATGGCCGGCTCGGTGAGTCACAAAATTGTCGGTCTCGATCGCCATCTTGGCCAAAATGGCTAGTGCGTCGATGCCTTGTTGGTGGCTCTGGTCGTTCTTGCCCCCCCCCTGTGTCGTACTCACAAAGCGATGCTTCCTCTCGAGGCGTAGGCGGTGGCGTCGTCATCGTCGGGAACGACCGTGACTGGGCTTCCGCTGGTGGAGGATGTGAGTCGACATGCTGCCATCGAGGTTGGGTGGCCGTAGTTGGTTTGTCCGCTAGCGTATGTGGTTCTAGTATGGGATCTGTGTGAGACAGCCTTCTCGCGCTCCCCAAGCGAGATGTAGAGGCCGAGGGGATGGTCCACGGTCCACTACTAGGCTGTGGTATGTTGGGCGGTGTGTGGATTTCCCACATGTCGCCATGCTCGTATATGTCTGGAGGTGCGCTCTCCCCAACGCGCATGCCTCTATTGGCTGATGAGAGGGTAGGTGAAACTTGTGAAGTGTCGTATGGTGAATCGTAGCTCACCAGGGGCTCAAATAGTCGGCGCTTGACGTAGTCGGCGTAACCACTGCAGGAGTCGGAAGTGCCGTCGTTGCGCTGGCAGTCTTCTGGTGTGATGCTGGGCCGCTCCCCCTGGGCCAGTTGCCCCCCGGGGGGTGAGGGCCTCTTTAGTTTTTTGGTGAGTTGACCGCAGGGGCTTCCTCGTCGTTGAGGAAGGTTGGCACTCGGTCTCCTGGGTCTGCGAAGCCGTCTCCGATGTCGCAGATACGGACCTTCTTGGGCTTGGCCGCTCGTCTGGATGATCCGTTTTTTCGGAGGGCGGTGCGGGGCGGAGGAGCGGAGGTGGCGCGGTCGGGCGTGGCGAGGTGGAAGCGGGGTGGTGGTTGGATTGGCTGCATCGGTGCGGTAGGTGATATGTCGGCTAGTGGAATGCGCACTGGGGTGGAAGGTGGTGGTGCGTCGTCATCGGAAGTGATGTCAATGAGAAGAGTAGTGGATGGGTGGTTGTGCTGAGTTGGGTCTGTCCTTCTGGTGCGTGGTGGTGGCGCCGAGCTGGGTCGGTCATTCTGCGGGTCGGGTGGGTGGAAGGCGATGGGCGTAGGCTGCTCGGTAGGGATCGGCGTGTGCGAGGCGGGGGTAGGTAATGGCGTGGGGACAGGGAAGGGATATGCGTCGCTCGCAACAGGGGTTGGGCTGCAAAGGTCGTCGTCGTCGGCTGGGATTGGAGTGTGCACGCTGGCGTCGTCGGCGTCGTGGCATGGGCGTCGCGCAACAGGAGTGGCGTTTGGCGTCGCAGGTGTTGGTCGTGGTGGTGGTGTGCTGTTGCGCTGTCCGCTGCTGCTGGGCTGTCCACCACTACTGCTGCCGCGGTTTCTGAAGTAGAGTTGATCGCCCGAGTCATCGGAGGTAGAGGGTGGTGTTAGCAGGTCGAGTGCCGCTTGAACCTGTTTGTCGATTTGTGCTTGTTCGGCGTCTGCTTGGGCTTGCAGTCGTGCGTCTTCCTCGTCTCGTTCTTGGAGTTGTGTGTCGAGCTCCCTGAGGATGTCCACGTCGATGCTGGTGCCGATCTCGTGGGCTTGCCGTAGTTCGCAGTGCAGTCGCTCGCGCTCCTGTCTGTGTTGCTGAAGGTGCTCCTGTAGTTGGAGTTGATGCTGCTTCTGGAGTTCGTTCTCGAAGCGTTGCATGTCACTGGAAGAGCCTCGAAGCTTGTCGATCTCGCTGTTGTACTCGCTCTGGGCCATCAAAGTGCGGTACTTCTGAGCCTGGACCTGTCCGTACTCCTCCAAAAGTAGCTCCTTGGCGTCCTGTAGCTGGTTCTGTTCAAGCCTTGCGATGTTGCTGATGTCCTGCTGAGCCTGAGCTTTCTCGGAGAGAAGACGCTGCTGTTGTTCGTGACATCGTTGTTGATATTGTTTGACCATGATCTCGGCGTTCTCCTGTAGTTGGTGTCGGAAAGTCTCTTCCTCTTGCTTCCTCTGGATGATGAAAGTGGCGAGGTGAGCTGACTCTTCCTCCCTGAGCTGGTCGCGCAAGTAGGCCTCCTTCTGCTGGTAGTGAGCCGTGTTCTCCGTGATGGATTCGCGAGCCTCGTGTCGGAGCTGCTCCTCGCGCTGTCGGAAGACTTGGATCTCGTCGTAGTACGACTGTCTCTGCTGGATTTGTGCTTGCTGAAGTTGTTCCTGGCAGTGCTGTAGGTGTTGCGAAAGCTCCTGAATCTGTTCGGTCTGCCGTTGACGCTGTGCTTCGTGTTGATCGGATTCGGCTCGTTCATGGTGGAGAAACGCCAGATGGTGTTGGTGTATCCCGTGGTTTCGCTGCTGCTCATCCACTCTCCTCGTCAGCACGTCGATGAGGTTCCGCAGGTCGCTGTCGTCGTTGGTAGTCGGAGCGGGCGCTGGTTCAGACCCAGGTTGACGAGATGGTGGTCGTTGTCGTCTCTCGGGATGTGGTGTCTTGCCTCTGACTCGGTGGCGCACGTCATCTTCGCCGTCCCCGTCGCAACTGTCTGCCGAAAGTTCAGCTTGTTCTCGATGCTGTTTGGCCTCGGAGATGAGTGCCTTGAGGGATGCAATTTCGTGCTTGATCTCGTCGTGCTCCTCTTTGAGGTCGTGAATCTGGCTCTCGACGATCTGTTGTCTCTGGATCCGTGACTCTACTTGTGATCTGTATTGAGTAATGCGAGCCATCGGCGTGTCCAGCAGATGTAGCATGGTCTTGACTATGGCGAGCTCCTCGATGAGGCGGGTTGGGTCGACTTGAGCTTGCCTGGCTCCAAGGACTTGGTCGGCGAGACGTGCCATCCTCGCCACCTTGGTGGCGTGCCAGACCCTACGTATGTCTGGCTCGTCGGGAGGAAGAGAAAAACTTTCGTGTCCCTTGGCCTCCGAAATCAGGGCGGGCATTACCTTGTCAGTGACCTCCAACTGTCTCTTCGTCAGCTTTTGCAGGTGCTGGTGGTCGTAGGTGGTGTCCTCGGGGGGCTGGCGGCGTCGTCTCGAGGGAGGTCGCTTTGTTCTCGGTGTGGTGTAGTCGTACTGATACTGCTGCTGATGCTGTGGGTAGTTGTGCTGCCGTTGGTCCTCGTCGTGGTGGGAGGTGTGGTGGTGCTGGTTGTGCTGGGTCTGGTGCCGTGGCTGATGCTGTCCATGCCCTCCGTGGTGTCGGCGGTGGGAAGATCCAGCTGCTGGTGCACTTGACCTCCATGGCCACGGCTTTGCACCCACTGGATGGCCGTGGGACTTCGCGTTGGCTGCCATCTCGCTGGTCTCGAAGTCCTGCGGCCCGTTCTGCTGGTTGCGCTGGTGCTGCTGCGCGGAGTGGTGGCTGCTGAGGAGATCGGCCGCCCTGACGACGCGCAGAAGAGCCCGTGCCGATGCTCGGCGTTCCCTCTGCCGCCTATGCCAGGCGGGCTCCTGGGGCGTCGGGCCTCTCCTGGGCGCGCCGAAGGCGCGCGGCAGCCGCCAGGGACCAGGGCGCGGCAGCGGCGGCGGCGAATCGCCGATCCGCGGCGCGCTGAGCCCGGCCTCGCGATCGGCCTGCGAGGCGGGATCGATCGGGCGGCAGGCGCCGATCGAACCTGACCGATCGATCGGGTCGCAGGCCGAGATCGCCAGAGGCCAAATGGGCTTTCCTCCGCCTCCGCCTCCTCCTCCTCCTCCTGGACTCCTCCTCCTCCCCCTCGTCGTCCTCCTCCGCCTGCCGACTGCCGACTGATGGCATGAAAGCTGGCTGCCGTTGGCCCTCGCTCGCGGGTGCCGTGTGGCACTGCAGGCGGGGGCCAGGCCGAGAGCGCGTGCCGCTGGCGCTCGGCGGCTGGCCGCGGGCCTCCGTCCTCCGTCCTCGCTTCCAGACTCACCCCTCCCTTCAGTATTGTCTAACAGGTCCCCATCTTGGCATCGCTCGGACGTGTGCATTTTTCCTTCGGCGAGAACCATCGAGGAGCATCCCTGATCATTTGGCGAAAAAGCCACGCACGAAACCGAACAAAAACACAGGGAATGGACGTCCGAGCGATGGCCAGCCATCACCATCCTCAGCCCCTTCGAGAGCCCCACCAAATGACCACCCCAGTGGGGGATTACGCCCCTCGACACCTGACAGGGAACGGCCTACATCCCCATCTGGGGGGGGGGGGGGTAAACCGGCCAGTGGGACCCAGCCCACGCTGGTGCAGGTACGTCGCCTGCCTTTGGCTGCGCTCGCGGGGGTGGGCCGCCGCGTCGCGCGCCGCCGTCCCGCCGGTCCCAGCCCGCGGCCCCCAGGCGAGGGAAAAAGCGGGAAGAGGAGGAGGAGGAGGAGGGGAGGAGGAGGAGGAGGATCGGAAACGGCCATGGGGGGCACTGGGCCCGTGGGGTGCGGGGCCCGCTGCTGCCACTGGGGGGCGCTGCAGCCGCGGGCCGCGCTCCTCCTCCTCGTCCCTCTCCCTCTCCCTCGTCCTCCTCCGTCCTCCTCCTCCTCCTCCCCCTCCTCCCTCCTCCTCCCCCCCTCCTACCTCCTCCTCCTCCTCCTCCTCCTCCTCCTCCTCCTCCTCCTCCTCCTCCTCCTCCTCCTCCTCCTCCTCCTCCTCCTCCCCCTTGGGGCGGGCCAGCGCGCAGGGCAGCGGGGACTGCGCTCTAGGGCTGCGTTCTGCAGGGGGGCTTCTCGTGGTTGGTCTGCACAATTGCGGGTGCTAGCCACCCCAGAGGGCATACGGGCCAACCGTCTGAGGAGGCATGGGGGGAGAGAGGATGAACGGAGGAGGGCGTCATGTCGATCTCAAAAGCTCGAAGAGGTTCTAGGGGAGGTGAGGGTGGGTGGGGTTGGGAGGGGGGAAAGTATGAGGTGGAAGGGGAATGTAAAGTGTGGGAAGGAGGGGGCGTGGAGAGAGGCAGAGGGAGGGAGGAGGGATGCATCGGGCATCGGAAGAAAGCGAGGGGGGCGGGGGTGAGGGGGGCCAGCCTTTCGAGGAGGCAGGGGGGGGGTCCTTTTTTAGGGGGGGATCGGCCCCTTCGACCTTCGAGGAATGCCATCTCTCCCCCTGCGCTTCCTGCAAGGCGGGAGGGGGGCTGCGTCCTGCGAGAGCCGTCCGCGCAACCCTGCCCCCCTCGCACTCCTCCGCTGCCCTGTCCCCTATCGTCGTGCTTCCTCCGTTCCAGTCGATGCTCCTCAGGGCGTTCGTTTGCCCAACGTGTGCTTCCGCGCGTTCGGCTCCGCCGAGAGCACGCAGCCCACGCCGGCCCTCCTCACCCCGCCTTAAGCCGTTTGAGGGCCTTCGGGTGGACGCGCGCACGCTGGCGCTAACGCACGCTCTGCGGACTCTCGATCCACATTACCGGCCTGGAACATATCCCTATCCCTATGTTTGACATCACCTCACCTCGATGCCGATCTTAAGGATTCCCTCCGTTTCTGAGGGCCTATCCCTAAGATTGTCCTCGCTTTTTGTTCGCCCATCTTAGGGATAGGGATACGTTCGAGGCTGGTTAATCCAGGCCTCCCACACAGGGTCCGAGCCGATGGGGTCGGAGGATCGCGCCGTATCGCAAATGCACCAGCGGTGCGGCTCGATGTGGGGCCAGGCTTTCTCCACGCCGACCTCGCCGACGCATCGCCAGCGTCGCCGGTGCATCGCCGATGCATCGGCGATGTATGGGCGATGCGTCGGCGATGTATCAGCGCGATCCTCCGACCCTACTGGCTCGGACCCCATTTGAGAGGCCCCCGTTTGTGTGGGCGGACACGGCTCGCATGCTGCATTCGCAGTCCCTTTTCGGAGCGGTGCCCGATCTCGTGGCCTGGCCCTCTGCTCGGGCACGCCTGGCGTCTGGCTGGCTGCCTGCTCTGTCGCGCTCCTGCTCCTGCTCACAGGGCGGGCGCGTTGTAGAGCAGGGCGATGCACGGCACCGAGAGACGAACAGCGAATGAGAAACACTTGAGCGACGCAAAAAAAGGTCTGCGCCAACCTTGGCGCGTAATGAAGCTGCCCGCGTAAGGTCGCGCGTAAGCGCCCTCGTCTTCAATGTAGTTGGCGTGCCGCGCTGGCGTCCCGCGTAAGCCGCCGCGCAGGGTCGCTGCGCCATCTCGCCTCAGACCCGACCTTTTCTCCCGTCGCCCACTCGAGCAGCCATGCTTTCTCGGAGCCGCCCTTGCCTCGCTTCCGCCTTGCGGGACCTCCTGGGAGGCCCTCGCCGCCGCCGCCGGCTTCGCCTCGACGTGCCGGTCCCAGCGCTCCCCGAGGAGGAGGAGGAGGAGGAGGAGGAGGAGGAGGAGGAGGAGGAGGGGGAGGAGGGGTGCCCCTCGCAGAGGAGGCACGGAGGAGCCGTGCGGCGCCCATGCACAAGAAGGCGCCCCTGTGGCGGGCCTTCGGCGCGGCGCGCGCCCTGGAGCCCTTTACTGGGAGGGTCTCGAGAGGGGAGTGCTTCGCGGCAGCGGTGCCCCTCCTCCTCCTCCTCCTCCTCCTCCTCCTCCTCCTCCTCCTCCTCCTCCTCCTTTTTGTTCTCCAGGAAGGGGCCCCGGCGGCGATCGAGCCCGCGCGCTCCGCGCGGCCTCCGAGCACCAGCCGCCCCGAGCTCGTCCTGGCCCCCCCCGCGCCCCGCGGGGCGGGGCGACGGGCTCGGCGCCGTGCCCCCCCTTGGCGCGCGCCTCTTGGCGCCGCCCCCTGGCGCGCGCTCCGTGCGCCGGGGAGGGCGGCCCCGCGCGGATGCGAGGAAGCCGCGCGGACCGCCGAGGAGCTGTGCTGAAGTCGGGCCTGGCCCTCTGCAGGAGGAGTCTGCAAAAGCAGTCAAAAATAGTCTGGGGGACGATGTCTCGGATGTTTTTGGAGCATTTTGGGGCATTTCTTGGGTATGCTTGATTTGTCGTCCAAAATCCGCCTGTACGAGGACACGCCCGACCTAAAACTATGCTCACGCCGTTCTTCTTTCTTCTCTGGAGGAGCCTTCGGGTCGCTGGTCCTCGTCGTGCTCCTCGGAAGACCTCCCCGGCGGGGAGGGGCCGCGTAATGCGGATGTCCTGCGAGCGTGGCCGAGACTCGCTGCTGGTGCATCCGCGCCTGCCTGTCCGACGGGGGCGGACGTGCGCGTTCCGTTTCCAGGGGGTGGGCCCCCCGACCGCGTGCGAAAATTACGCGGTGCCTCTGGGCCCAACCGCCCCCGCCCCCCCCCAATTGTCGGTGCTGATCGCGCGATCGGCGGGATTTGGAGAGCAGGACCAGTGCAGGATCGCGGGATCGGCGGGAGCGGCGGGATTTCGGCTGATCGGTGAAAGTGCATGGACCATTGGAATTTTGGGGGGTCCAGGGCGTGCGTCGTGTTGCAGACAGCGCTACTCGATGTCTGAGAGGCGGGGCATACAGCCATCGCGCTGCCAGAAGGAAGGCTGCACAAGGGACGAGATGGCTTCAGGAGGGGAACAAAAAAACACAGACACGATGACTCGTCGCTGCCCAGGAAGAGATGGGAACACAGGGGCACTGGGGGGGAAGACGAACACGCAGAAGACGTAGGAAACTATGGGGGATCCTGGGATTTGTGTGTGTGTCTGTGTCTCATGGCCCTGCATGGCTTCTCCTGTGCCCTCAGGGAGAGCCTCGGCCGCCGACCTGCACCCCGGGAGCGGCCCGAGCACCCCGGAGCCCCGCCCGGGCCCAGAGGGGGGCTGCTTCGCGCAGCGCCCTGGCGGAGCTCTCATCCCCCGCCCCGGCGTCGTGGAGCCAGTCTAGGGGGGCCACACGCGAACCCTGCCCCTACCCCCCACGATTTCTGAGGGGGAGGGTGGGGTTCGCTTCGCTCGGGAGCTCCCAGACGAAGTGAACCCCACCCTCCCCCTCAGAAATCGTGGGGGGTAGGGGTAGGGTGCGCGTGTGGCCCCCTACAGAGTCCCACGCCCCGGTGTCGTTGAGCCAGTCCCCATCCCCATCCCCTTCGAGACCCCCACCAAGTGACCACGCCAGTGGGGGATGCACCCCTCGATTCTCGAAAACAAACGACCTACATCCCCATTGACAGGGGGGCAAACCGGCCAGTGAGGGCCCAGGCCACGCCGCTGGGGATGGGGATCGGCTACACGATGCGCACCGTCGGCGAGTCCAGCCTTCCCCTCGCCTCCCGCAGCCACCCCTCCGAGGGGCCGCTGGGCGCGGGGGCCTCGGCGCCCTCCGCTCTTCTTGATATCACCTCCTCTTCGGGCACCCGAGCAGGTGGTCACGCCAGAGATCGTCGAGAAGCAGCGGATGGAGCTCGAGAAGGTCCTCCAGGATGTGGAGGAGTCTTCCAGCAAGGCCAAGATTGCCGCCAAGACCGCCGTGGACACCGCCGAGAGGTGCCGTCAGATCGAAGAGGAAACGAAGAACATGATCGCAGAGTTCATCGGCAAGAACGCCGTGGCCCAGTCGTGAGCTCGGTCTCTCGAGCCCCAATTTCGGCACTGTGGGCCGTCCCACTGTTCGGCCTGCCTCTCCTTCTGTGCCGCTGCACCCGCACGGAGCCACCTTCCGCCGCCCAGCCTCTCACGGCAGAAGCGCTTCGCAATTGACGCACAGTTTTTTTTTTTTGCATGGAGAGGGGGTCGCCAGAGACGTGTTCGCGCTGCCCGGCTTGCCCAAAGTGAGAACGAGGCAGCTCATACCGCGTTTCTTGCTCCCTCTGGGCCTCGATGGCGATCCGCGCCCATGTTCGCTGAGTGGCAAGCTGGAGTTGAGGCACAGCCAGGGGGCCAGTCCACGAGGTAACAGCAGTTGTAGCCTCGCATCTGGTTCGGTCTCATTGTAGCCATCCTCATGTGCATCACGCCTGCGAGTCACGCGAGCGATCCGTGGAACGTGTATCGTGTGGGGGGTATGTGATAGATACCGCGCACGTGCTCAGAGACAGCTTTGTTCCTGAAGCAGTGCCTGCAATCAGGGGGACTCGTGTTTACCTTCCCTACGGTAGTTGGTTGGTGTTTTGAGTGTTCGCCACGCCGCCGCCGGTGCTCCTCCTCCTCCCTCCTCCTCCTTCTCCCTCCTCCTCCTCCTGCTCCTCCTCCCTCCTCCTCCTCCTCCTCCTCCTCCTCCTCCTCCTGCTCCTCCTCCTCCTCCTCCTCCTCCTCCTCCTCCTCCTCGTTCACGGGTGGGGGCGGCATGCCGAGGTGCGCGCTGCGTCACCGCCCGTGCCGCCTCTCGGGCGCTCCGTGCGCTGGTGGGGCAGACCGACGCTGCGCCCACGCTGCCGCCCTCTGTGCAGCCTCGACGTCGTCGTCACCGCAACCGCCGCCATCCTCGTCCTCAACCTCATCCTCGTCCTCCCAGGACGTCACGTTACAGTTATCACCATCAGCATAATCACCATCATCATCATCATCATCATCATCATCATCATCATCATCATCATCATCATCATCATCATCATCATCATCATCATCATCATCTCCATCTCCATCTCCATCTCCATCTCCATCTCCATCATCATCATCATCATCATCACCATTATCATCATCATCATCACCATCACCATCACCATCACCATCACCATCACTACGCCCGGCGTTTGAGCTTACATGCAATTGTTTTTACCGCACATCTTACACCAGGAAGTTGCACCGCATAGTGCACAACACGGTTTGCACTACACAGTTCAGACCCTATAGCATCCACCTCTGGTTCACATCGCTTGGCTTACATGACGTAGCATACACCACATAGCTTACACCGCATAGCGTTCATCTCCTCAACTCACACCACATAGTTTGCACATCATAGCTTTCACCACATAATTTACACCGCAGACCTTCCACCTCCACAGTGCAATAGCATACATAATTGGTTCACGCTAGCTCGCATTTTACAGATGCAGGGACAAGATCGAAGACGCCTACGGCGAGTCAGCGCCGCCCCCTGCCTTTTGCAAGCGTCTACGTTTCGAAAAAGTCGGGTTGAATATTGGCCAAACTATCGGACAATGCGTTCCCCGATTCGGATTGCAACATATTCGGGGAACTCGTGGGGGAGAATGCACACATAGAGGCAGTTGGTTTGGTCTAGCTACCGTTCTGGGGGGTCATCCCTTGGCTGTATGTTTAGAGCCTCCCTACCCCCATTCCTTTTTGGAAGCGCCTATGTGGCCGACAGCTGGGCTAGAGCTTGGCCAAGCTATCGGCCCAGTTGTTCCCCGAGTCGGTTTGGAAAGGAGAGGAGGAGAAGGAGGATCAGGAGAGGGAGGAGGATGATGATTAGGAGGATGAGGAGGAGGAGGAAGATCGATCGATCGATCGAGCTCTCGGGCCGGTTCGGTGCTGCACTGTCGCTGCGCGCTGTGCTGCTTAATAAAGTTGTGTGGCCTAGCTGAGGTCGCTTTTCTGAAAGGGGGTCGCGGGCGCCACTGAGGCGCTCGGGCCCTACCTGCACCGTCCTCCCCCACGCGGGGGGTCTGCGGGCAGGGTAGCACCCGCTATCGGGTGCCCTCTCGCTGGTTCCTCTACTGCCCCGTCTTCTCTGCCCTTCGGGTGGGGGCGGGGGAGTCGGTGCACGACGAATTAGTCAGGGACGCTCGGGCCTCGGAGTAGGAGGAGGACACGATCGGAGGCGGAGGAGGAGGGCGTCCTTCCCTGACCCGCTCGTGGGATCGTGCGCTGGTGCGTAAAAATGGTGTGGCCTGTGGGGCAGAGCCGCGCCGTCCGCTCACTCACATCATATTGTGTCGCTCCTCTCTCCGTGTCGTTCTGGCGAGACGTCCCAGTTCTCGTTCTCCGTGCGGCGCCGCCCCGATCCTGCGGCTCGTCTCCATCTGCGTGTCCGTTGACTTCGCCTGGAACTGAAGCCTGCACTTCTCCGTGATGCCCCCTCCTTTGCCCTTGTTCTTGCGTGCGAAGAAGATTGGGATGCTGTCTGTTATCTTCTCTGCCCTGCCACCCGGTGACGTCCTTGTAGTGTTTCTCGAGGTTGTCGCACTCCGCTCCTGCGTCGAACATGCGCCCCGTGTAGTTCGCCATTTCGGTCCTCACGCGGGTGTGGGGGCTGTCGAGCGAGGCCGCGTCCACTTGTTCTCCCAGCTCCTGGCCAGGTGTTTCCAGGCTGTCTCTGCGCTCGGTGTTGAACGTCGCCCTGTGGTATCGTTGTTCTCCGTGGTCCCAGTTATCCTGTATGATGTTGCCGTTGGTCGTGTCCGTGTCGGTCACTTGCAGCTGGCGAGCGCATTGTACTTGTCCTTCATGGTGGACGCGTAGTAGTAGCTTGCGTTGTTCTTCGGCTCGTGAAGCACTGGTAGTAATTGATGCACTCGTTGATCGTAGGAGGGCGCCCATCGCGCTCTGCATCTGGTACTCGTTGGGCGTGGGCAAGTAGCACTCGTTGCACGAAAGCCCCGTGTTGATGGCCCTGCGTATGTGGACCGCGCGCTTCCACTTGTAGGGTGTCTCTCGCTTGGTCCCGCACTCGTGGTAGCTCTTCTTCATGGCCTGGATGCGCTTCTGCAACTCTGGGTAGTAGCTCTGCGTCGATGTTACTTGAGGGCCCAGGTACCGAGCCACCGCCACCACTTCGCCTGGAAGTTTGCATGGTGGGTCCTTCGTCTCCTGCGTATCTTGGTTTTTCTTCAGGCCGATCTCGCTCTGGCGTCTGTTCAGCGTGTCGTCTATCTTGTGGTCGGCGAGCAGTTTGGGATTGGCCTGTTCCCCGTTCAAGATGATCTTGCGTATGTCGCCCGCGTACTTCGTCAGCCCCACGTTTACTGGATGTTGGATCAGTTCACTTCTTCCATACAGTAACTCGTCGTACTCTATCTCGTCGTCCTTGGTCCACCTCTGGATGCAAAAATAATGTCATTCCTGCTTCGTCGTAGTAACCGTCCAGTAGTCCCTCTTGCGTGGTTCGTATCTTCCTCCTGCTCGTGATAGTTCTTCGTCTCGTTGCTCTGTGCGTAGTTGTTGTGCTCGTCGTCGTTGCCGTTGGCGTTTCTTCGTGATGTCGTGCGGCTTTTTCTCGTTCTCGCGCATCTCCGTGATCGGCTGTTTGTCTGTGGCGTGTGGATTGCCATCCAGCTCTGTCTCTTCCTGGGACCTGGGCGGGCCAACGACCGTCCCTGGAAGGTCCCTTGGTTCGAGTTCATCCGAGCAAAACGGGGGAGGCGACGATTCGGCCGCTGGCGTGCGATTAGCCTTTCGTTGTAATTCGTGAGCCTCTCGCGGTAGTCCGTCAGTTTCGGCGCCTGGCAGTAGTACTTCTGCGCTGTCTCTACGAGGATGGTGTTGTTGTCCGTGATGAGCTGATCGACTCCCTTTCCTGCTGGGTCCGCTGTCCTCTGCTCCACCTTCTCGATGACTTCTCCTCTGTGTCGTCCGTGTCGAGCTGCGAACGCGAGGCTGTGCTTTCCCCGTCTCGTTGGCTGAGGTCGCTGTCGTATTTGTTGTCGTAGCAAGGTCACTTGCACTGGTACGTCTTGTCTGGATCGGCAGCGTGTTAGCGGGGGTCCTTGAGATATCGTCTTCTCGGTCATGCTCCTCAGTATCATGGTCGTGATGCGGGGTGATCGCGAGCTCTCTTCCACTGAGCTGCAGCTCCTGGATGTCGATGATGGTGCCCGTGCTGTGGTTGATATCTTCCCTTGTTTGCCAGCCCGCGTCGTAGTATCTTGTGTTGCCGCGGCCGTGCTGCGTGATGACGTGTCGTCTGCGTGATGTCCCCACGATGATGTCGATATTGTTGCCCTCCTCGTATCTCACCGCGAGCCTGTCGGGCTTGGCCGTGTGGCGGCAGAAGAGGAGCACATCGGGCCGCCGCCCCTTCTGTCTGCTCGGTCCGAGGAATCGCATGGTGGCGGTCTGGGCTGCCCTGACAATATCTTAGGCCCAGATGGCAGCTAGGAGGAGGAAGAGGAGGAGGAGGAGGAGGAGAAAGATACTTCTTGGGAACCTCTTTGGAGGTCTCTTGGGAGGCCTGTGCGAAGCTTCCCGTGAGCCTTTTGGAGGCCTCTTGGGAGCATCCTTGGGCCTTTGGGGTGCCTCCGGGGTGCCTTGGGGGCCTTCTTCGGGGCCTCTTTGGCCGTCTCAGGGCGGTCTTGGGGCCATCTTCGGGTGCTTCAGGGCCGTCTTGGAGACCATCTTGGGCGTCTTGGAGGCCTCTTGGGCCGTCAAGGGGCCCTTCAGGGGCCGTCAAGGGGGCCTCTTGGGGCGTCATGGGGCCATCTTGGAAGCCTCTTGGGCGATCTTGGGGCGACCCTGTGGGCCTCTTGGGCCGTCTGGAGGCCGCAAAGGCGCAAATGACAACATCCGTCAAACACCTAAGGAACATTAATGAGTTTGGCCTCTTCGAGCCTTCCTGGGGGACTTCTTGCAGGTCTCTTGGGTCGTCTTGGAGGCGTCTTGGGGGCCTCTTTGGCCGTCTTGGGCCTTCCTGAGGCTTTCTAAGGCCGTCCGGGGTGCATCTTGGGCAGTCTTGGAGACATCTCGGGGCCATCGTTGCCGTGTTGGAGGCCATCGTGGACGTCTTGGAGGCATGTTCGAGGTCATCTCGGGCCATCTTGGCCGTCTTGGAGGCACCTGTCACCCCGGCATGTTCGGCGGCTTTCCGAGAGGCAGGCGGGACGGGCCGAAGCCCCCCACGGGGGAGCTCTTTTGGAAAAGAACGAAAACCAAATCGTAAGAAATCTAGCGCGCCAGGCACCCCTGTGATGAATCAACAGGTGGCGGCGGATCGAAGACGCCTACGGCGAATCACCGCCGCCCCCTGCCTTCTGGAGTCGCCCATGTGGCCGAGCGTTGTGGCAAGAGCTCTGCCACGCTATCGGGCCATGATGTGTTCCCCCAACCGTTATGGAAACCCTTCCGGGAACACTTGGGGGAGGATGGCGGGGAAGATCAGGAGGAGGGGGAGGAGGAGGAGGAGGAGGAGGAGGAGGGGGAATCTTGGGAGCCGCTGGGGGCACTCTTGGGGCCTCCTTGGAGCTTCCTGGGAGCCTTTTGGAAGGATCTTTGGGGCCTCCTTGGGCTTCTTTCAGGCTTTTGGGGGATTCTCGGGGGCCTCTTCGGTCGTCTTCGGGCATTCCTGGCCCG